ATTCCCAGTGTCTACATATTTTTAATTGAAGTATAAATGAACTACTGTTAGTTCCAGATGCACAACATAGTGAGTTGATATTTCTTTACATTACAAAACAATCACCACATTATGTCTAGTTACCATCTGTCACTGTACAAAGATATTACAACGTAACTGACTACATTCGCACATTCCCCATTCTGTACATTTCTTCCCCGTGACTCACTTATTTCGTTACTGGAAGTTGGTACCTCTCCACCTCTCATTTACTTATGCCTATTCTTATGCCAATGCCACCTGGTCAATGTTGTGCTATATAGTATGTCTTGAAATCAGGATCATCTTGCCAACTTGTGCTCCTCTATTTTAAATGTTTTCATCTATTTCTAAATTGTTTTGGTTATTCTGTGTGCTTTGCATTTCCATATAAATTTCAGAATCAACCTTTCAATTTTTAGAGAAAACTATGCTTTGTATCTGTATTGTACTTGTGCTTGACAGTAAATCAGATTAAGGATAATTGCCATGTTAACTATTTTGAGTTTCTCAATCTATTGGCATGCTATAACTTTGTATTTTTTTTTAGGTCTTCTATGGTTTTTCTTTTCTTTTTTTTTTCTTTTCTTTTTTTTTTTTAGTTTTCAGTGTATAAAGCTATTTTGTAGTTTTGACGGCATTTTACATTGCTTTTGTGTATCAGTTTCACATTTTTGTTGGTATTGTAAAGAAATACAGTTCTGTTTTTTACATCAACTTATGACATTTTATTCTTTGTACATCATACAACTTTGCTAAATTCACTTACCGGACTTTTTTTATTAAAAAAGTTTTATCAGCTTTTTACTTTGCAGGAATTTCTATATAAATAATCACATTTTCTGTGAGTATAGTTTCAGTTATTTTCCACTACAGTTACCTTTTCCTTGCCTTGCCTCATGGCATGAGCTAGTACTTTCAGTTCAACATTGACTTAAAGCAGTCAAAATAGACATCTTCCATTGATTCTGAGTTTAGAAATCGCCTAACACATCTTTAATGGCCCAGGATGTGGTCTACCTTTTCAAATACGTTAAGTGCATTTGATGAAAAATAATTTTCTGCTATCGTTGAGTGTGGTATTTTTTTAAATATCAATTATGTCAAGATTGGCATTATTTTTAAGGAAAGGACATATAATTTTTTATTAACTTATTTTTTACTTGTTTTATCAATTACAGAAAGAGAATATTGAAATCTTCACCGACATTTTGGAACTGCCTGCTTCTTTTTGTTTTATCTTGTCACTTTTTCCTTCCCAGTTTTTGAACTTATAAAATGAATATTCATTTTTGATCATCAGATTTTTTACTCAATCTTTTTCATCTTTAAAAATGTTCACCTTTACTTTTGTTAATATTCTTTATGCTGAAGTCCATTTTATCTGATGTTAAAATAGTCACTCTGGCTTTCTAATGATAAAAAGGTTGTGCTTTTTTATCCTAAATTCTTACTGTTATCTGAAAATTCATATTTAGAAAATTAGCTTCTTGTAGAAAACATATAATTGGAGTCTTACTTTTTATCAAAGTCTGACCAGCTCTGTCTTTTAATTGATGTGTTCAGACATCAATTAAAATTTATAGTTGATTTATAGTTGAAGTGTTTCCTTTCATTGGTGGGTTTAAGTCTACGATCTTGCATTCTGATATCTGCTCCAACAGATCTTTGTTCCTGTTTCCCCATTTTCTTGACTTCCATTGGTTATAATCCATTCCTCCTTCTTTCTCAGTTTATAGGTAATCATTGATCTGCTTTCTCTTACTACAATTTAGTTTGAAATTTTCTAGAATTGTATATAAACTGAATAATACAGTATTCAAATTTGTCTAGTTTCTTTTATTCAGCACAATAATTTTGGATTTTATCCATATTTTATTGTGTATCAGTAGTTGTTCATTCTTATTGCTCAATGAATTTGTCTGGAAATACCATGTTTTGTTTTTCTTTACTTTTACTGTTCTAGAAATTTGTGCCACTATATGTAAAACTTCTATAAATATTTGTGTATAAGTATCTATGTGGACATGAGTTTAAAGTATCCTGGGTGCGGAAGTGCCTGGTCACTGGGAGGTGAATGTTTAACTTTTTAAGAAACTATCAAAATGTTTTGCAAAATGTTGCAATTTTACATTCCCATGAGTAGTGTAAGAAGATTCCAGTTGTCCCAAATTCTTGTATAGTATATGGTATTTTCTGTACTTTAAGTTCAAAGGAGTCCCTCTGTTCAAGGCCTCAATCCCCTGGAGCACACTAACTCTATAAGATCCGGGGTTTGCTGCAGCATCTGCCTTCAGGGACACAGAGCTGCTAAGGCTGCATCTGTCCACTTAGCTCCAGCCCAGCCAGTGAACAGAGCTTTCTCTCATCTGGAAGGGCTAATCTTACCTCCTAGATTTTCCCCAATCAATTCTGGAAAAAAAAAATACTGCCTGATGTTCTTCCAAATTTGCCCATTTCTCTCTTTCTTTATACTTTGATGGGACACAGGATAAAGAAACCTGGGACTGTGCCAGAACTCTGCTCATAAAGTAAGTGCTTCCTTTGTGTTATATTTCACCAACTCTTTTCTCTTAGCAAGACCACCTGTCAGTCCACCCTACAAATATGTTGGGTACTAAAGAAAGATTCAAAAGCAGAACTGGTGGAAACCATACGCAGGTGAAGTGGGTCATAGCACCAGGGTTCAGGGGGGCAACACACAGACAGAGACAATATTGTGAAGGCAGAGATCCAGCTGAACAAAGTCCAACCATCTGAATACGGAGAGAGATTAGAGTTAAAGAAGGACTAAGAGAGCGTAAACCAGAAAAATATTCCTATAATGACTTAAAGTAGGAAAAAGAATAGGAACCACCTGGATAGCAGGACAGATGTGTACTTCAGCAGAAGAAAAAAATGTACCTAATGTATTGCAGATGGAAGAATAAGAGTTAGGAGCAGCTAGAAGTGGGAAGTGTACTGTCTGTGTGAAAATCACAGAGTAAAGACCCTGATCTATTTCCTAAGCCACTGGTTTACAAGCACACAGTACAAAGGAAATATTAAAAATAAAACCCTGGTTAATTAGAATGCATAGTCCTGCAGCGAGCAGTTCAGGATATTTGGGGTATAGTATCACCTCTGCTTTAAGTAGCTACACAACCTAGATCTTTACCTTTTACTTTTTGGGGCCTCAGTTTCTTTGTCTATAACATGAAGGGGTTGAACTAAGAGCTAACACTTACTGAAAACTTACTATGATTTAGGAACATAATTGTGAGCACTTGGTACTCACTAAAATGGTTTCCTTCTATTATCATTATTATTATTATTGCCATTTCAGACGAAAACCAGATGCACGTGGAAGTGATTTCTACAGGATCATAAAGCTAGTCAGTGGCAGACATGGTCCCAGCCTAGCCAGCCTAGCTCCAGAGACGGCATCCTTCTGGCCACACTATGCTTTCATGCCAACAAATGATCCCAGAACAAACTGACAGAGAAGTAAATGCACACAGCAGTCAAAGTCTCAGAACTACACAGGGAATCCTTTTAGGAGATAAATATTAATCTGGGGTTTTGAAGGATGGATACATATTAATCGTGAATAGTAAAGAATAGTAGGAAAAGAAATGTAGGTTACCGGTAAAGATAGAGAGACAGAAATTAATGATGTGCGATGGCTGTGGACCAGACAGTTTGTCTTACAACTGAGGAGTGAAAGTATGATTTAATGGCCTGAGATAGTGATTAGAACGGAGAATTTCAGATAATCATGGAGAAATAATTGAGAGAACTAAGAACACTAGGAGGAAAATAAGGCCCATAAATACATATGATCATTTTATTCCAATTAACTAAAAGGCTGTCATTTATAGAAAAGAATTAATATTCTCATGAGTATCTGCAGAGAGTAAATCAAGAACGAAGAGTGGATGTTTCAAGGAGGCATGGTTCCTCTCAGAATAAGAAGGTTTAGCCAGTTAAGCCACCCAGGAAGACAGCAGTCTGCTTTGTGACATACTGGGTTCCTTACAACTGGAACCTGACTACAGTGATTGGACAATACTTTCCAGATTTATATTAAAAGGCTCACAGAATTAGGTGCAGATTAAGTTAGAAGATTCCTGAGCTTTGTTCTAATATGAAGATTGTATGATTTTCTAAGGTTAGTGTAAAGGTTTTAGAATTACGTCATCTCTGAATCAAACTCCAGGTCTTCCCACAGATAAGGGTGAGAGCTGCTCTGAGAACTTTATGGAGGCAACAGAGGTTACGGCAGAGGTAGAAGCCAAAAGGGATGAAGGTGTCCGCCCAAGCCTTGTCATGCTCTGAGCATTATTTGACCTTTAGTTAGATTCTTAATCCCAAATTCCCATGCACTCATGACAAGGGAAACCCCAGTATGTGGGATCACTCTAAGCCCACCTCCAAGGCTTCACAATTGATCATGGGTAAATAAACCTCAACACCTTTAAATAAATGAAAATACTTCATTATACATAAACAAGTAGGATTTGTGTCAAGTGTATGAGGGACTGGCTAGATGACTTTTCAATTCCTTTTTTTTCCCCTAATTCATATTTTCATAAAATGGCTTTGAAGATAGGTGATTTCTCAGGACTCTCATGCTCATGTGGGTTAAACAAATGATTTAACCTTTTGAGCCTCAGTTTCAATAAAATGGCAGGATTAGATGAGAAGAGCTCTAAAGCACCTCTCGATTTAGCGCACTAAGTATGGACCTTCTGTGCAAATAGGAATACAAAGAAACGGAAGCAACTCATAAACATAAAAATAAATTTCTTCAGATATCGTTGAATTGGGAATTTACTTACGTCACTGCTCCTCATGCCTCCTGCTTTCCCCTCACTCCCCGGTCAGTGTGCTTAACCTGTTTGTTACTCACTTTGTCAGACCAGTATCATCAACTTTGTACAGAAACACAAACATGGTTTCTTTGGGGGCATTCACTTTTATCAAATCCTTTTTGTTGTCAGTTTCAGGACGTCTGAATCTGATTCCCAGTGATCGATGAAGAGACAGAACCAGAGCACGATCACCGAGTTCATCCTTATAGGCTTCTCAAACCTGGGGGATCTGCAGATCCTTCTCTTCTTTATCTTTCTACTGGTCTACCTGACCACACTGATGGCCAATACCACAATCATGACTGTCATTCGTCTGGATCGGACTTTGCACACCCCTATGTACTTCTTTCTCTTTGTCCTCTCCTGCTCTGAAACCTGCTACACCTTGGTCATCGTACCAAGCATGCTGACCAACCTGCTTTCCACGAGTCCGACCATTTCTGTCCCCACTTGTGCTGCCCAGCTCTATTTCTTTGTGGGCTTGGCTTGTACCAACTGTTTTCTAATTGCTGTGATGGGCTATGACCGCTGTGCTGCCATCTGCAACCCTCTCAACTACACACTCATTGTCAACCGAGCCACCTGCACACAGCTGGTTTTAGCCTCAAGCTTCTGTGGTTTCCTGGTCTCTGCGGTTGTCAACGTCCTGGTGTTTAGTGTGCCCTTCTGTGCCTCCAATCAGATCAACCACTTTTTCTGTGACATTTCCCCCGTCATAAAACTGGGGTGCACAGACACCAACTTGAAGGAGATGGTTATCTTCTTCCTCAGCATCCTGGTGTTGCTGGTTCCCTTTGTGTTGATCTTCATCTCCTATGTCTTCATTGTCTCCACCATCCTCAAGATCTCCTCAGTGGAGGGACAGCGTAAGGCCTTTGCCACCTGTGCCTCCCACCTCACAGTGGTCATTGTCCACTATGGTTGCGCTTCCTTTATCTACTTGAGGCCCACATCCCTTTACTCCTCAGACAAGGACCGGCTTGTGGCAGTGACCTATACGGTGATCGCCCCACTGCTCAACCCCCTTGTCTACACACTGAGAAATAAAGAAGTGAAGACAGCTCTGAGAAGGGTTCTCGGTAGGTACTCACCTCCCAAAACTGTGTGAGTGAGTTGATAGGTCAGGAAAGTTATATTCATGAAAATGCCCTGGATGGAACTTTAATAAACATACCTATCCTTTTTTGCCAAAAAGAAAAAGAAAAAAGAGAGGAGGACCTTTCTGTTTTCAACTTTTTTATTGGAAAGTCCTTCTTTGTGTTTAGCCTGTATTCACTGTAAAGGCTGTGCCATTTGGTCTCCAGAAAGCTGAATGAATGTGGCAACTTTCAAGGCTCAAGCCATGTTATTTTTGTACATTCTGTACATTTTCTCAGGTCAACACTACAAATGCTGCATTAATTCTGAGAATGCCCAGCCTGTTCATACTCTTCCTACACTGAAGGAAACAGTGGAGAATGTTATTTAAGTCTCCAAGTGCTTCTATATATTTTTGAGGTTAAGAACTAATATCTATAATAAATAACTTATTTATAGACAGAAAGAATATTCACTTACAAGATAGATGAGGGGAGAACTGAAGTTCTATAAGGCTGATAGTAGAGTAGAAAATACAGACTTTGAAATCATAAAAACCTAAGTTTGAATACTGATTTGGATCATTTTTGACTTGGGTCATTTTCCAGCCACATGGCATGGGCCAAACTTAACCTCTCTTGTAGTCAGTTGTTGCCTATGTAACATAAGACCTAAAATACCTCCTCAGCGGGTCACTGTAAGAACTAGAGGAATTAACATGGATGTAGAGGAATTTGGTCCTCTTCTGAGAGAGGGCATTAAAAAATATTAGTTCTCTTCCACCTCCCTTCATTTTCCTGTCTTCACTCCTTAAACTAGGATTGCACTTAATGTCAGATCAGTGTGAAAGCTAGGCTGACCATTCCAGAGTTCTGTTTATGCATCTGCTACTATGTGCAAGGCATTAGATTAGGTACTATAGGCAAAGAGTAATGAAGTACTGTTTCTTCTTTCCTTCATGTCTCACTGTAAGAAATAACCAAATTTCAGTCACCTATGTAGGTGGATTATACTTCTTTGGCTGAGTTTTGTTTTTATTCTGGGTTTTGTTAAAGGGGTATTTCAATGAAACAGAATTTTATATGAAACTGGTTTCATAAATGTTCATTCTCAGCCTTCCACTTGAGCAGCATGTAGTTTAGGAGCTCCTGCTTCAGGGGCTGGTGCTGGGGGCAGAGACTTGGGGGGTCACATAACATAGATTTTAAAATAAGCTTCCTCAGATACTTCCTATGCGAGCGGGTACCAATAATTGCAATTCTACAAAACGGGAATAATTAAACCATGGTTGTTATAAAGATTAAACGAGGAAATGCCTAACAGTATATCTAGCTTGTCTTTTTATGACTGGTTTATTTCACTTAGGAAAAGGGGAGTTGTTATTCAATGGTTATGGAGTTTCAGATTTGCCAGATGAAAAAGTTCTGGAGATCTGTTTTACAGCAATGTGAATATACTTACTACTACTGAACTGCACACTTAAAAATGGCTAAGACAGTAAATTTTATGTTTTTTGCCACAATAAAAAATGTCTGGCTACGTGTCGGCGGGTTGCATTAGTGTTGGCTGATCTAAGCTGACCTCAGTGTGATGACTCTGCCTCAAGTTTCATGCCTCCTGGGTCTGATCCCTTTGGCTAGGCTGGGACCAGATCTGCACCAGCTATTTTCATTCTAGAGCCCGGGTTTAAAAGGACATGGTGGTAGGAGAAAACCTGCAGTGCGTCTTTTGGCTAAAGCTTGAAACTGGCAAACTGTACCTTCTGCCCATATTTCACTGGCCATTGTAAATTCCAATATCAAGCCCAAATTTCTGTGGTGGAGATTATACTCTGCATCTAATAGGACGAACTGCAAAGTCACAGGGCAGAGGACACAGAAAGGGATAAAGAGCTACAGCTGAAAATTCAACAAACAATAGTAAGCTAGGACCCAGCAATTGCTGCTGGTATAGACTAGATCAAAAAGAGTCATATGTTACCAGCCTTCTGGGGAATCTTATATACTGTCTATAAAATTATGCAGATTCCAAGAGACCCAAAATGCCACCATGATCTACAGGCCAGAGTGGGGACCTACATAGATTAGATATTAGAGTCTTGGCACAGGTCTGCCAGGGTTTGAGGCTATTTCAAACTAGGCTCCAGCTCCTGGGAAGGCTGGCTAGTCAATTTCTTATTTAGTCCTCCTCCTATTATTTTCCACTTTGGGATCTCATCCCAAAGCCTGGGAAGTGCACCAGTCCATTCTTCGATGGTTTACAAACTGTACTTTTTGTCTTTTAGTACCATGCTTCTCAATCTCTCTACTTTTTGGTAGTCTCTTCCAGAATTGACAGATTCTCCTTAGGAGGTAAACGCCTCCCAAATATCAGAACACTCTCTCCAAGTGTCTTGCTTTTATTCCAAACCTTAATCCTTTGTTAGAGTCCTGACATCTTCAAACCAATTTTTCCCCAAAATTTTTGTACCGTTTCTAGTTGTTCCTAGTGGCTGAGTTGATCTGAAATATTCTGGTCCAGTCCCCACAGAGGGAACTCCTATTCTGTATATTTTAATTCTAGTAAATATATTACTTACAGTAAAATATACAAACTAAAAAATACACAAATCCTAAGTGTATAACTTGATTGATTTTTACAAATTAAACTTAGCGGGTAAATAAATTTTTGAGAACTCCAAAAGGCTCCACTGTGCCTCTTCCCAGGAATTGTGATCCCGAACATAATCTCTACCCTGACTTCTCTCACCTCATTTCTCCACATATAACGTCAGTGAGAATCTGATGTTTTTCTTTTTTTCTCTAGAAAAATTGCAGAAAGCTGCACAGAAAATACCAAGAGTATGACACAGACACAGTACCTCCTATTAAGACCATCTTAGATTACTGTGCTACATTTGTTAGATTTATTGAACCAATATCGATACACTGATGTTGTCAAAGTCCATCGTTTACTTTGGAGTTCACTCTTTGTATTGTACAGTTCCACAGACTTTCACATATGCATCATGTTATATATTCACCATTACAGTATACAGAATGGATTTACCACTCTAAACATGCCCTAAGTTCCTCCTCCTCCTCCTCCCCTCATCCCCTGGCAGCCAGTGATCTTTTCCTGTCTCAGTAGTTTTCTTTTTTCCAAAAAGTCATATAGTTGGACTCATACAACATATACACCCTTTTCAGACTGGCTTCTTTCATTTAGCAATATGCAGTGAAGGTTACTCAGTGCCTTTTCATGGCAGGATGCTCATTTCTCTTTCTATTCTCTATTATTTCAGCAATGCCATACTCCCTTGAATTACCATAGCTTTATAGTAAATCTTGAAGTCAGGTAGTATCAATTTTCCAATTTTATTCCCCTCTCAATATGTTTTAAAATGTAGATTTCATTGTTTTTCAGATATGGTAAGGCTGACTTATCAGGAAACAATTCCCATTGAAAAGAGAGTTTATTACACACAGTTCCTAAGAGGAGGTGGGGATGCCATGCCTAGGACAGGAGGATACTGTAGGAACATGAAACACTAGACAAGCAGGAGCTATGGGCTCTGGACTGATTAGTTTGCATATGAAGGACATGCTCTAAGGAAAGTCCTCTGTTATCTCCAGGAATTGGAAAACTCTAACCCTAGTTAGAAGGAGTAGTCCCTCCCTGGTCATCAAGGTCCCAAAGAGTCATCTAGGCCCATCAAAGGGATCAAAGCACCTACAAAATGTGGTTAATATGCAATATTGTGTTAATAATCCTCTAGGTCTTTTGCCTTTGCATATAAGCTTTACAATCAGTTTCTTACCACCCCACAAAATAACTTGCTGGAATTGTGATTGAGACTGCATTGAATCTACAAGAAGAACTGACATCTTAACACTATTGAGTCTTCCTAGCCACAGACAGAATATTCCTCCATTTATTGAGATCTTCAATATCTTTCATCAGTATTTTATAATTTTCCTCATATAGACCTTGTACATATTTTGTTCGACTTATACCTATTTCTTTTTTCTTTTTTGTTGCTAATGTAAATGATACGTGTTTTTAATTTCAAATTCCAACTGTCCATTGCTGGTACATAGGGGAAAAAATGGGCTTTTGTGTATTAATTATATGTCTTACAATCTTGCTATAATCACTTTTTAGTTTCAGAAGGATTTTGTTACTTTTTGTTTTGTTTTTGCCTACTCTTTGGAATTTTCAACATAGGCAATCATATCATCTATGAAGAAAGACAGCTTTATTTCTTCCTTCTTTTGATGTTTTTCTTCTTGCTTTCATTTTTATAATTTCTATTTTGTTCTTTTCCAGAAGCTGAATAAAGTTTTCTTCACCAGATAAAATCTGTGTGTCTGGCAGATCCTCAGAGGAACCACCAGTTTAAATCCAGAGCTTGAGGTTTCTTGAGCCAAGTGGTGATGCAAATTTGCGATGCAAATCAGAATGAGGGCCTACTGATTACAACCTCTCACGAATGGACCTATTTTCCCCACCGCTGACCCACGTCTCTGGTCAGCCTCCAAGCAACTTTCCCATCTGGACCTCCCAACGGTGGGCTGAAAGATGCGTTTAGTTCCACTTCATGTTTATCTCAAGGTGTCCTCCTTCAGACTCCAGCTTAAAGTAGACTTATTTTTTTGACTCCTGTTTTGGTGGGCCCTGGATTTTAATTTCTGTCAGCCTCATCCGTGATTCCCACATATCAGTAGCTGGGGTTGTAATTCTAACCAGATAAGTAAATGTCCTCGTGGACTCTTGCTTTCTCTCAGATTTTGACCTGGAAATCCCTGCTGTACTTTCAGCTGGTAAATATATATCAAGAAAAAGATTTTAATATTCCCCAGCAACTTCAGTTATTTTCAGAAAGAGCATTTGTTCAAATAGCCAGAGTAGCCACTAGCAGAAACAAATTCTCTCATCCTCTTCACTCTTTCTCCTTTGAATATCCTAGGCACAAACATTCAGTAGTTTCTACTTAGCTTTCTTGTTTCCAGTGTTTTTGTTCTTAGTCATTGGCCAAATCTCAGCCCTGAC